TTCTATATTTGATGAGATGTTAGAATATGGAGTAATATCTTAGTTGGTAATCTTAAACAGCTCTTGTTACGGAGTTATGGAACACATAGTATTAGTAGTTAAAGATTGTTGAATAATGTCTAAAATGGAAGAAACGTTTGTATATTTGATATTTTAGAAATTCAAATTCAAGTTAAAATTAAAAATTTATTTCCACGTGATTCATTGTACATAAATGGGTGATGACCGATAATGCATGTAGAAAGTCCATGGTTATGTAGAGCATTTCTGGCAAGCTTAAGCCTAACTTGCTTAAGCCTAACTTAAGACTACATGGGTAACAAGCATATATATGTCGTGCCGAATAGGTAAAACTTGCGATTTTGGCTTAAATAGCAACGATATTCTTGCCGAATAAGGCAAGCGAAAATTTGTGTATGCAACAATTTCGCAAAAATCATTCTGAACCTAACTAAAAAAATATATTTCATTGTGTTTGTTTAATAAATTATTGTAAATTTATCTAAAATATATTTATTTGGATTACATTAAATTAAATTGTGCTTGTTATAATAAGGTTAGGTAAGTTTTCTAAGGTTCTTTTGGTACAAAATTATTAATTTTTATATTAACATAAATTAAATTATTTACATTGTCTCTAAATAATTTCGCCTGTTTGCGAATTGTTAAGCATTTCACATCTCTTTCGTTGTCCACTGCATGTGGCAGGATTAGATGAAATAACTTTCAAAACGAGCTTGGTGCCCGGGAGTATGGGGAAACAACGCTTAGCTTCGGCTAAGCGCCCAAACTTGCTCCGTGGTAAAGTACTGTGGACCCTGATAGAGTTACCAGGTTCGAGTCCTGCTGTGGATGTAGAGACAATGTTTGTAAATAATTTCGTTTGTTTGCGAACTGTTAAGTATATATATATATATATATAATATATAATATATATATATATTAATATATATATATATATATATATATATATATATAAATATATATATATATTTATATATTTTATCACACTGGCCGATTCCCATCAAGGTAGGGTGGCCCGAAAAAGAAAAACTTTCACCATCATTCACTCCATCACTGTCTTGCCAGAAGGGTGCTTTACACTACAGTTTTTAAACTGCAACATTAACACCCCTCCTTCAGAGTGCAGGCACTGTACTTCCCATCTCCAGGACTCAAGTCCGGCCTGCCGGTTTTCCTGAACCCCTTCATAAATGTTACTTTGTTCACACTCCAACTGCACGTCAAGTATTAAAAACCATTTGTCTCCATTCACTCCTATCAAACACGCTCACACATGCCTGCTGGAAGTCCAAGCCCCTCGCACACAAAACCTCCTTTACCCCCTCCCTCCAACCTTTCCTAGGCCGACCCCTATCCCGCCTTCCTTCCACTATAGACTGATACACTCTTGAAGTCACTCTGTTTCGCTCCATTCTCTCTACATGTCCGAACCACCTCAACAACCCTTCCTCAGCCCTCTGGACAACAGTTTTGGTAATCCCGCACCTCCTCCTAACTTCCAAACTACGAATTCTCTGCATTATATTCACACCCACACATTGCCCTCAGATATGACATCTCCACTGCCTCCAGCCTTCTCCTCGCTGCAACATTCATCACCATGCTTCACACCCATATAAGAGCGTTGGTAAAACTAACTCTCATACATTCCCCTCTTTGCCTCCAAGGACAAAGTTCTTTGTCTCCACAGACTCTAAGTGCACCACTCACCCTTTTCCCTCATCAATTCTATGATTCCCTCATCTTTCATAGACCCATCCGCTGACACGTCCACTCCCAAATATCTGAAAACATTCACCTCCCCCATATATATATATATAAATATATATATAATATATATATATATATATATATATATATATATATATATATATATATATATATATAATTTGTGTATGCAATAATTCGCAAAAATCATTCTGAACCTAACGAAAAAAATATATTTCACTGTGTTGTTTAGTATTAAATTATTGTAAAACGTAATCTAAAATATATTTAGTTAGATTAGGCTAAAATAAATTGCGCTTGTTATAATAACGTTAGGTTAAGTTTTCTAAATTTTTTGGTGTAAAATTATAAATTTTAACATTAACATTAATGAAAAAATATATCTTTGAACGTATAAAAGAAAATTTTAGAAAGGACTTAATTTTAAATGAGTTCTTGCTAATTGACCAGTTTTACATATTAGGCACAATATTTTAATATATATATATATATATATATATATATATATATATAATATATATATTATATATATATATATATAATATATATATATATATGTTTTTGTCAATGCATTTTGTCTTTAAATAAAATATATATTAACTAAATATAGGGATGGTAGGAGAAAATTCTCGAACAGCTTCAGTAAGAACCTCGAGTTTTCCCTGAAGCAAGTTTATTCTTTTCTCTCAGGATGAGGGTCCCTAGAATAGTTCTAGAGGTGGTACCTCTCTCCTCTCCTCTCTCTCTCTCTCTCTCTCTCTGTATATATATATATATTATATATATATATATATATTATAATATATAGATATATATATATATATATATATTATATATATATATATTACGATAAAATAAAAAAAACTGGACCGTTCATACATATATATGTATATACACACCAAATAAAAATCGTTTTTGTGTCATGTCTACTGAAGGGCTCACAACTACTGTAAATATTATGCTTGGCAACTCGGATCTTACTCGTTGTGCCCTGAACACACACACACACATACATACACACACATACACATACACACACACATACTAACTAACACACGCACACACTCAAGTGATAACCACAGACCAGCTTGGTGTGATCCGCTCTTCCACTCTCTCCTCCGAGGAGTCCCGTCAAAATCTTGTACTTTTGTTAGTCCGGTGATCATCCTTCCCTTCAAAGAATCCTGTGATCAACTTGTTCTTCAGTGATGTGATCAATCTGTTCAAAAAAGTCTCCTGATCAACCTATTCTTCAAAGAGTTCTGTGATCAACCTGTTCTTCAAAGACTAGTGAGATCAC